CTGTTGATGGAAAATGCATATGATTGGTACATGTTTACTTTGTGTCTGGGGGCACAGATAAAATAATTCAAAATCAAAATCAAAATGTTGTGCCCTTTAAGATATTGATTTCTTGTATTAAATTATGTGATACTACAGACAGCGCTTCTAAACACATTATGCAAATATGTTGAAGAAAATGCAAAACCCTCTTCTTTCTACAAAAACTTAGAGAATTTTTATCAAAGACAAAGTGTTAGGATCATGTCAACTTGGAGAAAAAGTGTTTTTGGGTGTAAATATTTTACACACTATTTTGCCCGAAGAGGAAGAATGCAGCTCAACTTTTTGTTGTGAGTAGCTGCCTCTGAAATCCGTGACGAATCTGTTCATCTGCGTCACTTCACTAAGACTGATACAGAATTAGGGTTACCTTGTAACTGGACTTACTCAAAAGCTGATCTGGAAACCAGTGTTATTCCCACGATAAAAGACGCTGACACAAAGCCCCGAACTATTCAGTGCTAATTACTCGCTGTATACTTCTGTAAACTATATAACTAGGGTCTGATTCTGGATCAAGGACATAGGGCTCAATATGTCAGATTTCCATTGTTGGAAAAAGTTTATTCTCAGGTATGAAACGATCATGTACCGGCGAATCTGAAGTGTTTGCTTCAGAGGTGAACAACTCAGCGTGAAGCCCATTGAGCGGGCGGGGGGAGGCGGGGAGAGGCAGGGGGAGGCGGGTTCACAGGCAGAGGAGCAGAGTCCTCTCTGGATCAGCTTGTTTGAGTTGAGGTGACATCACCTCTATGCAAGTAATGGCTACAATCTCACAAGTGCTGTATGGTGCATCACTCAAATTGTTATCACACACGTGCATAGGATGGACTGTGAAAGAAGAGCACAATGTGGCACCTCTAATGAATCCAGACACTTAAAACAAGCTCTTATGTTCCTTCATCTTTGATTCTATTATTATTATTATCAATTATTTATTATTATTATTTTAATCTTTATAGGGACAGTGTAAAATAAACGTTGACCAAAAGGAAAAGTGTGTCCCAGGTGAGATAATAATCCCACATATGATCACGCACACGCCACACTCCCTCTCGTCACGCACCCATTACATTAATACTACTTAATTAAGAGAAGAGAGAATTAAACATGTACGGGAAATCTCGCACCATTAAATGAGGTGAGCCATAATTACAATTTCTACTACACATTCTATTAACTGCATACAATCTTCTCAATCAGACCTAAATGTTGAATAATTATTAAGGGAATTTATATTCAAAAAAGATAAGACTTAATCTTTGCTTCTTTATTATGTTAAAGTTCTTATTTTATTTTAGTATAGAGTTGTTGTTCATTTATATTGTAGTCGGTAACACAACACTGTTGTTTCCCTACTGTGTGAATAAAGGATCTCTATAAAAATAACAATAAATCATCAATATATAAACATGTATGTATTTAACCTAATTTATTACAATTTTTATAGGTAATTTAAATCCATGAAAAGACAGATTACTTGAATATTTCCTGGCAGTGATCCTCCAAAAATAAGCTTGATTACTCAAACATTTTTAATTTAGAAGCTGCAAGAAAGTCCTCTTCAGAAAATATAGAAAGCTAATTCTCCTCAGCTACTTCCCCACTGATCAGCGCAACAGAGAATAGTTGATGTTGCCAAGGGTGTGGGAGTGTGAAAAATGTAAGGCTATTTATGAAGATATAAGATTGAGATCGCACTCTCGATAAGGCGTATAGAGCAAATAAATGTGACAAAGTTTAACCAGATGTCCTTGGCCTGGTTGCCATAGTGACTCTTAAGCATGTGTGCAGGGCTGTATAGGAACTATGGAACAACGACATTGGGGTTTGTTTGATTGATGCCAAGACATGGCTGAAAACACACAGATGAGAAAGACTACAATCCTGTTCAAACAAGCAATAAACAACACAAACTGGGCATGGTTTCTGGTTTCGCCAAGATGGACAATGCTAATGCTATTGCGAACCATGCTATGTTCCTCCATCTCGCTTTGACTCTATTGACTTGCATTGGAAAATAAACTCCTGGTGCTCAGTGATAGTTTTTGTCATTCTCACCATTTTGAGCCAAAAAACTTAAGTTGGTCCTGGTGTTTTTTTTTTTCTTTTGATTATCTCTACCTGTCTGATCAATCAGGTGCCTTCTGACCTCATTATATAGCCAATAGTGCCATTTGGCTATATAATGGGGTCACGGTCAATAATGGGGTCAATAGGAAACGGACCAGCACCATTCTCAATTGGCACTTTGGTTGCTAGGTTGTTGCTACCCAGGATTTGCCCTGTGCTGACTTTTTGAGTTTAATTTGGCTTTTTTCTCAATAAGTTCAAACACTATAAGTGACGTCAGTGACAAAAATTGATGCGACTATCTATGTTTAACCTTGCTCCTCTAACTTAGCCCTAAATTACATGCAGGTGTCAGAAGATTATTTGATACAATTTGATGTTCAGGCAAAGCAGTAAATAAGAAAAGTTTGTGATAGATAATGTGTATTTTTTTCCAGATTGACTTTGTCTAGGTGGGAAAGAATCTAGCAACTGGCTCACAATCATCACCACGTTCAACCTGGACTGTTGAATCCAACCCAAAAACCTCTGTGATGGCAAAAAAAAATTGTTGTTAAGCTTTGTTTAATGTTTACCAAATGGTTTGAGGGGCGAACCATTTCTAAAAATGATAATAAAAAAAGCACATCTTATCTTATCTTCTGGCACTAAATAATTTCGAACCGCGTTTGGTCTTATAGGTCTCTTTTTTCAGCTTGTGATGATTGAGTCAGGGCTTCTATGGGGTGGTGTCTTTCCTGTACCCTCTGCCCCCCCTCCCTAAGGTTGACAATCGCCCCAATCCCCATTACCTTGATTGGTTGTAGAGGATTGACACGTGTTTCTTTTTTGCCAATGACTTGCCGCATGTGATAAAACTCGGAGTAATTCTATTGTGCTTCAGAGTGAGGTGGTGTCCAAGGAGATTTTTGTTTTGTTTTTTCTTCTTATATCACACGAATCACAACTCTGTTTCCATGGATCATTGTGAAATGTTCCACAACACTTGACTGAGTGATTCTGATCAACCTTGAGCCTCCGCAAAGAGAACTATGAGCTCTGAGCTGCCTGTTCTAAAGTTCTCTATGAATCCAAACTCTGAAACCAAGCTTTTAGAATAATCAAAAGGACATTGGTCATCTGCCCCTTATGGACCAATACCAATGTGTTTTCTGTTTCATTCCTTGTGTTAGAGGTTTTTGATTTCGTGATCCGTGTTGGCCAATTCAACGGTTGTGTAAAGTCCTCCGAGATAATTACTGTTGTGATTAAGGGCTATACAAAAATAAAGTGAATTGTTATGATCTTAGATTTAAACAGTTTGTGCAGATTGGTTTTACAGTGACAATTGCGTACTTTTTAGCTTGTTTTTTTATGTATTTGCCTGGTGTACACTGGGGTTGGGGACTTCTGCACATGTATTCAAATGTGGTATTACTGCAAGCCTAATTTTCTTTTTACTTTTTACAGTCATTAAACCACACAAATCACAACCAACTTTCTACAACACTTAACTATAGCACTGATCAACCCTGACATAGATCCTGGACTCTTAATTACTTGATATCAGATCAATGAGCAACATGCAACATTTGAGCTGTGCCTGTTTGAGCATGCAGGCGAGAGAGAGGGAAGGACATCGAGAAACATCCTCTCCTCCAGAACTGTGCAGGTCTTACAGTTTTGAAGATTTACTCTTATGTGATAACTAAACTTCCTCTGCTCCAGCCACTCTAGTATTTTTGTTGACATAATGTGGGACACCATTTATAAGCTTTACGGAGCTTTTTGGGGAGTCCATTTTTCACGAGTGTCATAACAAACTTAATGTATTTCATATCCATGGTCTATATTTAAATAAATAGTAGTAGTACTGTAGTAGTAGTACACCAGATCTCAGGTCACATGGTTACAGAGATCACATATAGTTTTTACAACAAGAAAAAAAAGAACCAAAATGTGTCAGTAAAGGACCTTGTGCGAAACAATGCCTGACCGAATAAAATAAAATAACAGGTGTGCCTATAGCTCCTGTTTTCTCTGGACACGATCAAGACAGCATTCTCTAAAGACAGAGAATCGGTTATAAATACAACCAAACATATCCTTTAACATGTTGCACACTTCTGTCTTTTGCACAATCTGAGTGATTCTAGGCGGTATATAAATAAAAGCTTACTTACTTACTTACTTACTTACTTCTATCCATGCCAAATGTGACATGTACATTCTCCAGTGTGAAATCAATACAAATCTATCTTAATCTTATCTTATCTATACATAACTGCACTTTTAATGGTAATAGGAATTTATCATCTGTCTACTCTCACATCAAACCTATAGTAACTAGGCGTGGGAACCTAAGGGTACCTCACGATACGATACGATACGCGATACAAAGCTCACGATAACGACATTATCACGTCGACGATATCACGATAACAATTTTATCACGATATGACAATTATCGATATATTGGTCAGAAACATACAATATGCCAATTTATGGCATAAATAAAAGAAAAAATACACTTTATTTCATGATAAATGGAATGGAGATGCATAATGTAGCCATATATTAAGTATTGATACCAATTTTTTTTTTTTAAATGTTTAAAAAAAAAAAAAAAAAATTAAATTGATATTGATACTTGGCAAATGAAAAATCGATAATCGAATCGCGGGAGAAAGTATCGCAATATATCGTCACACCCCCAATAGTAACTGTGTGTTTGTGCGAGTGTGTGAGAGAGATAGTAATGCTATGATTGTATTTTATCATTGAATAAAGCTGAAAACTGATTTTATATGGCTGGCAACTGAAATATTTGCATTTTTTGTGAAACTGATGTTTGCTGTGCGTTGTCCCTGATCAAAGCAGTGGAAGCGTTCTTCGGATACACTCACAAGGGATGGTCCGCAGGTAGAGGTTGTCTCGAATGATCTGCTGCAGTTTGTGGTCCAGGGAGCCCTTCTGGAACTGGAGGCTGAGGTAGTGACGCAGGTCCGAGTTCAAAACTTTTCCTGCAGAAAGAAAAACGCATGAGTCAATAATAATGCTCTGTGCTCTTTCTGAGAGGCTTTGGACTAAAAGAAAATCCATCTCAGTGACATGTACTCTCACACTGGAATCAATAGTTGCAAACTACAAATCACTTGATGCTCCACTTGTATTTGATTTTCAGACACGCACACACACACGCAGCACGCACACGCAACACACACATGCAGCACACACACACACACGCAGGCACACACACGCAGCACGAATACGCAGCACACACACACACACACACACACGCGCTCAGGCACACACACGCAGCACGAACACGCAGCACGCACACACATTATTTTTCTTTCCCTTTGCCTATAATGCATTCTCTATGACGTTCACTTTTTCAAGATTCGTCACCTAGCTGGTTTGTGCGTCAGTGAGTCATGACTGAAAGGTTTTAAAATAACCATTAAATAAAATAGTTTTGCCTTTGATTCGACTCAGAATTAGTCAAGTGGCCAGAGTTATATCCGTTGTCCAGTCTAGTCTACGTCTCCCTGTTGTTTTTTGATGAGTGCAATCACATTTTTTTTTTTTCAAATAGAAAGAGGTCTATTTGCTAAATGAAAATGAGTTTTTAATCATTGCCGACGTTTATAGACCGGCTAACTCCGCCACTGATTTCAAGAATATTGCTGCAGCTTCATCTTTAGGCCATAATAATGAATTGATTCTACTGGGTGTTGTCAACATAAACTGGGTGGCTTCTTTGTCTAAATCGGAGTCTAGCATTTTTAATGGTGAACATACAGTACTTCCTTGTGTGTAATCAGTCCTACAATTCTTAGATCCTACAGAGCTTGTCATTGGCTATTAAAGTCGAAAAAGTGAATGTACAGTATAAAGTTATAGTTGTCTTCTTGGAGGTGTCCAAACTGGTCTAGAAAGGGCCACTGTGGCTGCAGGTTTTCTATCAGACCCAGCAGGAGCAGAGCAGACTCCACCCATTTCCTCAAGTAAGCTCAGTGAAGATTCCCCTGAAGATTTGAGGAAATGGGAGGAGTCTGCTCTGCTCCTGTTGGGTCTGATAGAAAACCTGCATCCACAGCGGCCCTTTCTGGACCGGTTTGGACAGCTCAGGCTTAGAAGGTTGTTCTAACAATATTTTTTGTTTTGTCTTATCAAATGGTAATCACTGGAAAAAGTGATGATAAATAAATCAAAATATGCTCACATTTTGAAAAATATAAACCTTTTGACTGCCTTAACAATATGATTTGCTGATGGGACAAGCAAAAGTATCTTGTTTGCTCTGACTGCCACCCTCCCGACCCAGAAATGGACGAAGGGGAAGAAAATGGATGGATGGATAAAAAGATACAAGAAATGTCTCTCATGGAATTAGCAACAGTTCTTGAAATAATAAGACAACCAATTATTCCCTTATCATTTTTCAGTTTTTTTGCAGTGATGGCAATGATGCATATTTAGGTGAAAGTCCCTTAAAGCTAGAATGCATAGATGGATGCTTTACTCCAGCGTGAAATCCTGCACGATTAGAAATGCACAAAGACATCACACCGTTGAGCACATGTCAAGCTGCACATACACTTTCACACATTCACCACGGAGACACCAGTCAAGGTCTTGCCCCCGGACTTGGGCCTGACACAGCACTGGTTTCAGCCAATGGTTCAGATATTACAGATGTTGGATGGGGTTTGTTAATATTAGTAAACACTAGGACGAAATTCTGAAAAAATCCCCCCCAAAAAGACTAACTCACCTAAGTGTTTTGTTTTTTACTTTATTACATGCTAAAACTGATGAATTTAACTGAAATACAACAAAGTAAACACTAACTGATGCAAGTAAATTGTGAGTTGCTATAGTAACCGGCACTGAACTCATGCATTTTGAGCAGTTTAACACGGCAGCATTGGAACAGCATTGGAACACGGACAAATTGCAGAAGAAAATAGTCCCAATAGATTCAGAGAAGTTTAAGTTTGTATTTCGCTAAAGAAAGTGAAGGAAAATATGGCGGCTCTAAAGTATAGGATCATTTTAACAACATTGTCTTTTCTGCTATTCTGTGTGCATTGTGCTCACACACTGACAGAATATAAAAATCTACAACTAGTGTCGAAACCCTCCAGTTAGAGAATTTTTTTTTAAATACATCGAAGACATTAAAATAAATGAGTTCTGCTTCCACAAAACTGGGTTGGACTCACCCTAATAAACTGACAATTAGCATCAACTACAAATACTTCCCACCTCTGCACCTTCTCCACCGACTCCCACTGATGACTGCTGTCGTTGTGTCCTTGGGCAAGACACTTAACCCCACTTTGCCCAAAGCCCCCACTGAAAGATCAAGGCTATGCTCACACTCAGAGAGCAGCTGTCCTCCTGTGGACTCACCACCTGCAGAGGGTCAGTGAGGGGCTGGTGCTATGAGACTTGGGTGGCATCTCTGATTGCCACCCCCCTGACCCAGAAATGGATTAAAGGGTAGAAAATGGATGGATGGATGGATACAAATACTTGTTTTTTCCATTTTCAAATTTAGTATCAGTCCAGTGCTACAAAGTTTCATTCAGAGCTGGTCAAAGTACATCAAAATCCAAACAGCCCAGGCCAACAGAGAAAGTGTAGAACAATCTAAAATCTATGCCTCATTGTGTTGTGTTGTATTGTTTAATTGTAGGAGGTGCGGTGATGCAGAGGCTTCATCTTTGCCACTTACACCAACTTTACATGAAATCACACAGTGTCATGATGTCCGAGCTGTAGCTTATGTGCATGTGAGCACATGCGCAGAAAAGTTTTCTGTGAAACTTGAATGTAAAATTCAGCCTTTCATTTTGCACGAACTAGGTGAGCAATATACAAGATTTGACATCAAATGAAGTATATTTCTTGTTTGTGAGATTATACGTATACTTCTTTATTATGGTACAGTTCGATTTTATTTTTATTTTATTACAGTACAGTAGTTGTTAATTTATCTTGTGTGCTTCTCATTCTGTTCTGTAACCATGAAACACTGAAACGTCCCCACTGTCAGACAAATAAAATGTTTTTTTTTTGTGTGTGCAGAAGACAAGATTCACTTTCTGCACACCAATAAATGTGTATTTTATGGCAGTCATCATGAGAATGCCCTAAAGTCCTCAGGCCTGTTCCATCTGTGTATTGAGGAATAAAGGTTGCTCTCAAACCTCTCCAAAAGCAGGTCACATCACAGCTGGTCTAACTCACAAACACACAACCTGAGCACCAAGGGCCAATCTGGCAACTTCATCTGCAGACTGTCCTGAAATCTCCCTTTTGTTCAATTTCAGCAGCACAGGAGGATTCTCGGGGCAGAAGGCTCCTTTCAGCACAGCGTGGAGACCATATGCTTTGAGAGGAAAACAACAGTCCATGGGGAGAAATACAAACATGTATTCAATTCATTTCCACTAATACACTCAAACTAATGAGTTTTCCTGACTTCTGATTAGATATTTGAAATACTTGAGAAAAATGAATTGCCAGGAGCATCAGTGGAGATGCATCGCTCACTGTCTTTGGCTCTTTGTACAGTTTGACTGAAACTAAACTTGTATCTATAAATTGGAGACAACTAGACTATATTATTATTATTATTATTATCATTATTATAATTACCATCATTATTTTGATCGTTTGCTTTATTTGAGTAGGGGCAGATACAGAAAACAGTCAAACTATTGTCTATGGCTAATTCACAGCACTTGTCCCAAGATTTTGGAGGGCGGGTCAACCCATTGTGGGTAACCAAGGTTTCAGAGGAGCAAAATCATCTATTATTCATTAAAAGGCAAGTTTTATATCATATTGACAAAATACAGTGCGATTGATGCAAGTGGGTAGTGGCCTCCATCTGGAAATTGTGCGCCGTAGTTACTGATTCTGAATATAGATATTGTGTTGTTGGGGCGGCACAGTGTTTGGCGCTCTCACTTCTCAGCAAGAAGATCCTGGCTTCAGTTTTACCTCCAGCTGGGGCCTTTCTTAGTGGAGTTGTTCTTGTTTCTTAATGGAGTTGTTCATGTTCTTCCTGTGTCTCCTCCAGTTCCCTCCAGGTGCTCCGGTTTCCCCCCACCACTAAAACCATGTACAATAACTTCCCTCTCTCTGGGGCCAGGACTTCCCTGTAAAGAGATTCTAAAATCTCAGTGGGATTTTGTAAACTAAAAGTCAATCAAAATTAGCATTTTTATTAAGTAAGTAATAGCCAAAAAGAAATGCAAATAGAAGAAATGAAGCCCACTTAATTATTTTTTCACAGGCACTAGGGGTTGGACAAACAAATGTTTGCAGCATATTGGCCTGACGACAGCGACGGGTGCTAGCATAGAGATAGGGCAGGCTGATATTACCATATATTTCCTACAACTACTGAAGATATATTTTTGCATATCTTGACAAAATAAACTGTGTCCTTATCAGTTTGAATGGCCAAATAAAATGACTCCATGGCTCTTCTGTACAATAATTTGCTTGGTTTCAGTCTGTACAGAAATGTGTTGTTGTGATTGTCACTCCACTCTCAAGTGCCAACAGCACCTCGTGACGACACACACATTACATTAGCACTTCGACTCCAGCTACAACTGCCACTCACACAGCACATGGGCAGCATCTGTCAGCAGGAAACAGCCACTTACACATGCGACCGGCGCAGATCTACACCCACTCACTCGCCCCCATTAAGGATCAATGGAATATAAAAACCCTTTGCCTGATTGGATAAAAAAAGAGAATTCCACCTGCAATCACCTGCAGACCTCAGCCTTGTATCTCTCTGCGTAATGTTTTCATCTCAGTGTGTGTGTGTGTGTGTGCGCGCGTGTATGTAAAAACCTAAAAAGATACATCACCAATGATCTCAATGTTTGGTGTTTTGTTTGGCGTTTTACGGCTGCATTGCTTTCTCATGCTTTTGTTATTGCATACATGTAAAATTCAGTGAGTGGGTCGGATATAAATGCTTCTCTGGTTGTTCATTGTTTGAAATGAGCTTTAGAAAAATTAAGTGTAGGCTTGGTTTAGTCTGATACTGATGTGGTGAGTGCATATCCTATATCATAGTTTCTTAATAAGGAGCAGTCATTTTTGAGTGCTGGTTTTGAAGGGAGATATATTGGTATTTTAAGTTTTATTACGGTTGGCAATGTATTGAAAATTCTCGTTCTGCATTATGTAGCGTTTAATTTATAGACATATTTGATATGAAAGGAAAAGAGGCGAGCCAAGCACATAAATCACTCATAACTTAAAGAGTTATGACCTGAATTATGTAATCCTTGCATTAAACCATTACAGAAAAACCCTGTTCATATCTGATGAATATCCTTTACTCACTTTGGTTTTGGAGGACACCAACGTTGCACTAAAAGGTTAGAAACAGGAGAAAGTATGTATGTGTAACCGTATAGGCACTGATATAGCAAAAGTGATTCAGGACCTCTGAGTCAGGACACTTTCTGTGCAGTGGGTGTTTTTTCAATACAACAAGAAATATTATGCATTTTCATTGCCCATTAAACAGAAAATGAGACACTGAGACACCGACATGTGAAATCAAAGATTAAAAAGGCCTGTAACTCCCAATGCCAACACCGGTAATTTTTTTCATTTTTCTGTAAACTTTTGTTCAAATTTGAAAATTACCGGCTGAAAACACAGCCATGCAATTGTACAGAACAACACTACACCTTAAAATGACCGAACCTAATTAATGGACACTAACTGCACTGAGCATGATGCAGTATGATGGTTACGTTGACATCATATCATTGCATCATCATGTTTGAGATTATTTGGATAGAACAGGAATTTTGTAGAATTGCATTTTTCTTTTAAAAAAAACAGATCTTTGCCTGAAAGGATCTGCAAACAACTCCAGGTCTGTTTCACTTTGAGTTACCTTGTGTATGAAAAAAACACGGTAAAAATAAACTTGCCCTGGGTAGCTTTGCCTAACACTTGCCTTGCCTTTTCGATGAGGAACAAGGTTGTGACATGGTTAAAGTAAAGAGAAAAAAGGATATTGTGTATAACATGTCATTTCTCCATTTAATTCATTTCTATTCTCCATTAATACTCCATCTGTTATATTCTATCTTTCATTTTAATACTCTGTCTTGTTTCGCATCCTATTTCTGACAAAACTTTGGCGCCTCAAGGCTTAAGACAAAAAAATCTCTACCTTCTCATTAAGTACGTTTTCGTTAATTGGTCTTTTTTTTCCCCCCCAAACCCAGATAAATGTGAGCAATCGTCTGGTGTGGTGGCATTCCCCAAGTCCGGGACATCCACAGGGAGGTCATTACCGTCTACGCGACCGTCACTTAATTAACAACGCTTTGAAAGAGGGATATGTCACAGCTGCACCTTTCTGCTGCTGCTGCTGGCTCAACACATGTGCAGATCCAGACACACACACACGCACACACACACACATACACACGCACACACACACACACGCTCACCCACACGCACACACACACACACACACGCTCACACACACGCACACACACACACACACACAAAAGACCACATTGATTAAAAAAAGGAAATTAGTCTTTCTCTCGCTCTCTGCTTGACGGCTGATATTTTTTCTACGATTGCCAAGCCACTCCAGTTTCAATAAATTTCAATCTAATCTAAATCTTACCCTAATTTGGAAATCAGGAAATAAATGTGTATTTTATCAGACATTGTAAACTGGAGCAAATTGTTAATGGGTGGAAAGAGCATACATTAGAACTATACTAGAACAATATTGATCAAAATTAGTTATTATGTGAATTGTCATAACAAGTCTCATTAGTCCGGAAAAACCTGTCCATGGCTACCCCAGATACTGTATGGTCTGGCGTAAAGCAGATGAATGAGTATTTATTACACCAGGGAGGACCACATGCATCTTTGACAGCATTTTAACCTTGCTTAAATAACTCATGATAAAAGAGAGGCTTCCCACTACCCAGTCCTTAAAAGTGTAACGGAGCTGAATCAGGGCCTGGAAGTGATGCTGTCAGCAGAAAACAGATATCATCGTCTTGAGTGAAACATGGGGGAAAGTGCACGCTGTTAGATAATAAGAGCAGGTCTTTGACAACCAACATCCAGGGGCGCAGAAAGTACTACAAACTGTGTCGTCTAGAAATCAATTACACATGCACTGCAAAAAGTAATGAAGAAGAAGTCAAACATTGCTCAAAGTTGGCAACATTTATCCATTTAACTAAAACATGATTTTCCAATGGGACAAGCAAAATGATCTTGTATTTTGAAAAGATACAATTAATGTATTTTTTGTTTGTTTGTTTTTTTATTGTGTTTGTCTGTTTTGTTTTTTGCTTTATATTATTTATATTACTTAATTGCTTTTATCCATCCATTTTCTACCCTTTAATCCATTTCTGGGTCAGGGGGGTGGCAATCAGAGATGCCACCCAAGTCTCATAGCACCAGCCCCTCACTGACCCTCTGCAGGTGGTGAGTCCACAGGAGGACGGCTGCTCTCTGAGTGTGAGCATAGCCTTGATCTTTCAGTGGGGGCTTTGGGCAAAGTGGGGTTAAGTGTCTTGCCCAAGGACACAACGACAGCAGTCATCAGCGGGAGTCGGTGGAGAAGGTGTAGAGGTGGGAATTGAACCCACGACCTTCAGGCCTGAAGGCCAATGCTCTACCAACTGAGCTACTGTCGCCCCGTAATTAATTGCTTTTAATTACCTCGTTTTCTCACTTTTGCCATTGCCTGAAATAAATTAATAAATAAAAAAAAATAAAAAATAAAAATGTCTTCCTTGGAATGAGAAAATAAAGCAACAGTTCTTAAATGGCTTTGTCCAGTTAGCAAATCTTATTTTAAGACAAAAAACACTTGATTTAAGTGATTATCACCTCACCATTTTTGGCAGTGTGTCAAAGGAAAAGCTGCCCTCTTGTGATTTTATATGATGGTACAATGTATACTTGCTAATTAGCCATGGCTATAGGTAATGTTTCTCATGTTGATTGTGTAAACTTGTCCCTATAAAATAATTCAATAAAATCAATTAATACTGCAAAACAAGTCAATCAATTATTAAACATTTTGAAAAAAACTCTATTACGCTATTGTACATATTTTTGGTCGTATAGGGGAAATTGGAGCACCCGGAGGAGACCTACGCAGACATGCGGAGAACATGCAAACTCTTCCCAAAAAGGTCTGGAGGTGGAATAGAACCGATAGGACCTTCTGGACACAAGCACTTACCACTGCGACTGTGGTTAGTGCTGCCCATAACTCTAATTTAATTCACATTTTAACCACAAAAACAAATAATTTAGGTTGCTCATAATTAGATAATAAAATAAAACCATCTTTCGCATTTCTAGTTTGTGCAGCCAACATGAGCCCATAACATCGTGTCCATTTGAGAAATCAGGCCACAGCTCTTCTTCCTGGTGCATCTGCTACATTTGTACACTTTAGCCTGGGGTGCTTCCTTAGAAATCTGCTGTTCCAGTGCTGTTTGGGCCGAAACGCTGGCACTATTACAGTTAGCGGGTGAGTTTCAGAATGGGCCCATCCATCACACTGCTATGACAGGTGCTCACCGTCCTCTTCATCAACCCGTGTGTGTTTGTTTCCCCGTGGCACTCAGTCAACAGGGAACCATGACACCTGCAGGACCGGAGCCGCACCAGAGGTCTGACAGCCTCACACTGACACCATCACACCCAAGTGACGTCCAACCTGTTTGTGAAGCAGTGGGACATGGCATCGGGATGAAGAGAGGCGATAAGGTGTGTGTTGGCAAGAGCAAGGCGTGTTGACAATATTAATAGCTTCATTATTATAGGGGAAGCTGGTGTGTCCATCTAGTTAATCTGAGGTTAACCATCAATTCAATACTCAAATTTTTTAGAGGCCTCTGAAATGATTTTCAATTATTATTAATAATTTGCAATACTTACATACAGATTACATACATAAATAAATAAATTCCAAGCTCACTGAGCAGTGTCGACTTTCTCCACTTCTTTAATAATAAAATTACATCCATCCGTGACAAACTGGAGGAGGTTACTCCTGCTGTTGGTAGTGGACAGGCTTAAGCGGCATACGTGACTTCCCACTTAGACTCTTCAGTGGGCCTCGATAAATTCATGGCTGTGAGCCAAGCAGAGGTGATCTCTGTGGTCTAGGGATGTAAAAAACTATGAATTTTCATGACCGACCACCGAGCCTCATTAACCGGTTGAAACCGGTTAACCGCGTAGTTTAAAATAGTCCACGTTCTTTGAAATAACAGCCATTTCGAGCCGCGTACTTTTCATAAGTGCAGCTCTGCGTTCTACTGGATCAGAGTTGAGACAGCGGCGCCCAAATCCACAACAGCTCCGGCACCTTTGCGCACAGAGAACTGCTTTTTTAATCTTCCCATTCTGCTGTGCTGCGGGTTAATACCAAAACTTTCTAGCAGCAAACGACGGCTCGTTCACATGGTCAGAGCAGCGAGTGACGAGCCGCGTCTCACAGGTCTTCACAAAAGTTTAAATACAAGTGATGTGTGTGGAGCTGATCCCGAGGACCATAAACACAAACATGTTTCCCCTACAGCAAAACACGTAGGGGAAATACGCGGCTCCTTTGGGAGCCGCGTATTTGCACGAATCCTTTGGGCTCCGTGACACAGAGGAGCGCGACAGACCGGTATGTGTGTTTGTATGTATGTGTGTGTGTATGTATATGTGTGTGTGTGTAAATGTAAGCTCCAATGTAGTTCTGACCCGCGCCAGTGTGCAACTTTGACGGTAACAGAGGGGAGAGATGATGCGTGTGGATGTTACGTATGGAGAGGGGGAAAGTGTGTGTGTGTGTGTGTGCGCGCGTGCGTGTGTGCATATGTGGCTCGTGCGGCGTGAGAGTCGTCCCGGAGTTTATAATACATGGGCGCACACAGCTAGATACAGACCCGCTCGTCACACCGTGCAAATGGGGCTTAAAATAGCGTTATTAAGAGACCTCCCCTCTCCCCTTTTTCTCTTTTTTTAACCGACAGCTTTGACCGGTTAACGCTGTGACGGTCAACCACCGGTTAAACGGTCGCCGATTTACATCCCTACTGTGGTCACATCCTCAAAAGCCTCAACTTGCATGTTAGACGCAGTTCCGACATGGCTCTTCAAAGACATACTTCCTTTGATAATTGAGCCTATTGTAAATATAATAAACGCATCCATACGGTGTGGCTATGTCCCACAGGCTTTTAGAACCGCGGTAATCAAACCCCTTCTGAAGAAAACAAACCTGGACCCAGAAATACTTAAAAACTACAGACCGATCTCAAACCTCACTTTTATATCTAAAATCCTGGAAAAACTTATAGCTGAGCAGCTTCGCTGCCACCTGCAGGAAAATAATATGTTTGAAGTCTTTCAATCAGGATTCAGAGCTCATCATAGCACTGAAACGGCACTAGTCAAAGTCACAAATGACTTACTAGCTGCTGATAATGGACAAGTGTCAGTGCTGGTCCTACTGGACCTTAGTGCTGCATTTGACACAATAGACCACAGCATTCTACTGCAGAGGCTAGAATGTGATGTAGGTCTTAGAGGAACAGCCCTTGGCTGGTTTAAATCCTATTTATCAGATCGGTATCACTTCGTCAACGTAAATCAGAACTCGTCACCTTATTCTGGAGTAGAATTCGGTGTGCCGCAGGGTTCGGTACTCGGACCGATTCTTTTTACTCTCTACATGCTGCCATTAGGAAACATTATTAAAAAGCATGGAATTAATTTCCACTGCTACGCAGATGACACACAGCTTTATCTGTCGATGAAGCCAAATCAGACAGATCAGCTACAGTAGAAAAGCTCAGTGCCTGAATAAAGGACCTTAAAATGTGGATGACTCTTAACTTCCTACTTCTCAACCCGGAGAAGACAGAAGTGATCCTACTCGGTCCGAAGCGCCTGCGTGACACCCTCACTAACCAGATAATTACTCTCGATAATGTCAGTATTATACCCAGTAACACTGTGAGGAATCTTGGAGTCATTTTTGACCAAGAACTCTCCTTCAAGGCTTATATAAGCCAAGCAACTAAAACGGCGTACTTCCACTTACGGAACATCGCTAAAATTAGGAATTTCCTTCCTAAAAGTGACGCGGAAAAACTCATTCACGCGTTTGTCACCTCAAGGCTCGACTACTGTAACGCTTTACTGGCAGCGTACCCTAAAGCGTCTTTGAAGAGCTTCCAGCTCGTTCAGAATACAGCAGCTAGGATCTTAACAGGTACCAAAAGGAGGGAGCACATAACTCCGGTGTTAAAATCACTCCACTGGCTCCCTGTGGAGTACAGAATAAAGTTTAAAATCCTTCTCTTAACATATAAAGCCATAAATGGCTTGGCTCCCTCTTATCTCCAAGACACGTTAGTGTCGTATCAACCAAGTCGAGCGTTGCGCTCACAAAACGCCAGACGTCTGGTGGTCCCTAAGGTCTCAAAAATCACTGTTGGTGGCAGAGCATTTAGCTACCAAGCTCCTTTACTGTGGAATCAGCTTCCCATTTATGTTAAGGAAGCAGATACGGTCTCCACATTCAAGGCCAGGCCTAAAGCACTCTACTTTAATTTAGCATATAATTAGGTAATATATAATGTTGTATATATTATATATATATGCTGTATTATGTTGTATATTATGTTATATATTATACAATAATGTATTGTGCTATGTTGTATAGTATGTTATATATTATGCTGTATGTTATGTTGTGTATTATATATGATATATATGGTATGTATGGTATATATGATGTATATGATATATAATATATAATTAGGTTTGCTTGGATCGGTTTGCACACCTGGTGTGCAATCCATGAATCTCTTTATTCAAGGCTAGGTTTAAAATAGTCCTCTTTAGTTTAGCATATGGTTAGGAAGGTAAGACTCTGGGAAGGCTAAACTCCTCAGAGTGTCAGTCAAGCTGCATAGGGAGTCAGTTTGCTGGGAGAAGTATGGTAACTTGAGCACTATCCTCTCCTCCTTCCTACTTTATCTACTTTCTATAAATTTCTATTCTATTTTTACTGTAGTTTGTTCATTGCTATTCACCCGTTGTCCCATTGTCTGTTTCATGGTACGATGACGGGATCTCTGAGCCTGGCCTCCTCCATCTACACCTGCGGACTGCCCCGCCCGACCCGCCTGGGAGTGCTTCGGTCCTGCACCGGACCTGTCCACGTTCAGCGGCCACTGGTCCACGTCCTGTAGCTAGCTTAGGTCCTAGATCATTAGCCTGTCCGTCCGGAGGAGCGGATCCCTTTCTCATATGGGTCTCCCTCCCTGTGGGTTTCCCTAGTTCTCCCCAAGGTTTCTCACTTTTTCCCACTGGGTTTTTTAAGAGTTTTTCCTTGTCGATGCAGGAGGGTCTTGTTGGACAGTTAGTGTCCAACAGAAAGGATTGGTGATGATCAGGACACTTTAGCATTCTACAACATGTATGGACATTTTCTTCTGTGTGTGCTTTATATTCTCCATGTGTTAACTGTTGATTCTCTGACCTGTGTTGGTGATTTCAATGGTTCTGTTAAGTCCTCTGAGATGACTTCTGTTGTGACCTAGGGCTATACAAGAATAAATTGTATTGTATTGTATTGTATTGTATACATAAAGTATGCAGCGGCTTGTAGCTGTGGTCGCAAGGTCTCTGGTGCTGGTCCCGGCGGCAATCCCCAAACCCGGTGGTGGACACCGGCAGTAAGGGATGCCGTCAGGCTGAAGAAGGAGTCCTATCGAGCAATGATGGTTCGTGGGACTCCTGAGGCAGCTGTCCAGTACCGGCAGGCCAAACGTGCCGCGGCCCGGGCTGTTGCAGAGGCAAAAACCCGGGACTGGGAGGAGTTCGGAGAGTCCATGGAGCATGACTATCGGTCGGCCTCAAAGAGGTTCTGGCAAACCGTCCGGCGCCTCCTCAGGAGGGGGAAGCAGTTCTTTGCCAACACCGTGTATGGTGCGGGTGGAGGGCTGCTGACCTCGACTGGGGATATTGTCGGGCGGTGGAAGGAATACTTCGAGGTTCTCCTCAATCCCCCCGTCACGTCCTCTGTCCAGGAGGCAGAGGCTGAGGATGTTGGGGCGGATACTTCCATCTCCCTGGCCGAGGTCACCAAGGTGGTTGGCAGCCTCCATGGTGGCAAGGCGCCGGGAGTGGATGAGATCCGTCCTGACTATCTAAAGTCTCTGGATGTTGTAGGACTGTCTTGGCTGACACGTCTCTG